TTGCTGATCTACAATAGGTGGTTCTGGAAGATTGTTGGGTCCGTCGTTGACTTCTTGACCATTGAAGGGCTTCCTGACCATTGAAGGGCTTCGTGAAGGGTTAGAATTACGAGAATCATTACCGAATAAATCCTCTTCACCTGCAACAAAAAAAGAGCAATTTACTATTGTATTTCTCCAACCTACAGAAAAATTACACAAAAGCACAAAAGTTGAGCTTACCGTCTAAGCCATGTGATGAACCATTTAATAGCTGGACAAGTGGACTACTGGCCTTGCTAGAAGTGGCTTCAGTGGCATTCTTATTAACCAGCTTCCGTAACATTTTAATATCAAGCTTGGCAGACAGCTGCTTCATCAACTGCACAGGAAAAACATAATTTAACAGAATATTTCAGAGATCATATAAGAAAAAAAATTATAAAGCTAACCTTTTTTTTCTCAATTTCTTCATTATCAGAATCATCAGTTGAACTACCATTACTGTTGCTACTTCCTGATGAGTTGGAATCCCTTTTCTGTAAAAAAATTTGTTTAAACAATGGTAAATGAAAAATTTTATCCCTTTGATGAGTTGTAACTAACAGCGCGACTTACCTCCACTCCCTCATTATCATCAACAGATTCCTCATAAAGATGAGCAGATAACGTCTTGGTCCTCTTAATCTCCGTAGTGTCCTTACCCTAACGAGATAATAAAGGGCGTATCACAAATTTCACACAAGATGTTTATAAGACATTGCATTATGCTCAAATTCAGCTCATTATACTCACAAAAACATCATCATCCTCCTTCTTCAAGAGTCGTTTATTGGCCAGTTTCTCCATTTTCTCTTTTAATTCAATCCTCTCCTTGTCTTTGGCCATCTGCAAAACTATATGAGCTTAAATTACTTACTTCACTGATTACTCACCGTTCATTTGTGAGTAAATCACTCTGTTGATGGCTTATTTAACAGCTGCATTGGTTGAAAGTTAATTTCTTATTGAAAATATGACAAAGTCAAAATAACTAAGATCGGTTCTCTTCAATTCTAATTGTTGGATCCATTTTACAACTAAGATTTTTCATACGTATCTTATTCCATCAATGATGTTTCATCAATGATGAATCAAACAAACTAGGCTACAGAGAGACCAAAAGTACTGTCGTGGTACCGCTTTAACAGCAAGGATGCTCTTAGAGTCAATAACACAACCCCTCGATCTGAACTCAAAAGACACTGGTCTTAATTTTTTTTACTTTGTCATGTTTTTACTAAAAAGAAGTAACATCTAACCAATGCAGCTGTTAAGCCATTATCAGAATGATCCCAATAACTCAAAGATGAATGGGGAATAAGAGATTGATGTCGCCAGTAAATATTTAACAATATTTGGAATGTTTAGTCGACACAACTGGCAGAAGGACCACAATTCGAATGGTCGAAACGTAGTGGATGTAAAATTTCCGAAGTAAAATTTTTGCCAGTTGTGTCGACTAAACATTCGAAATATTGATGAATAGAGAATTATCAGTAAACTAGTAGAATATTAATCTCTAACTGCAAAACTTCCTATCAATTTTCAGTACTAACAAAAAAGAAGAAAAATCATTTCGAATATATAAAACAGGATCATTGACTAATGGTGATCAAATACAATAGCAACAACTGCTTGCCTTCTTTGAACGAGCCTTCTTTCCTGGTTGGCTAGGCTTCAATGTGTGTTTCTGATTGATCTTTATATTGGTCAGAGTTGATTTGGCTTTAGCAGCAGCTTTCCTTTCTTTCTTAGGCTCGGCCTGGAATGAACAACGACCATTGGCCTGTCGCGACTCTTTCTTTCTTAAATTATTAAGTCCTCTGGCTTTCTTCATACACTGTTCGTGATTGTCTGTCGAAAAGCATAAACTCTTATTAAAACGACCTTGAAACGAATGATAAGTACCAATAAGCGGCCTAGGAAGTAACTTTGTAACTGCGACTTCTGTTTTTATTGAAACCTCTTCATTTCAAAAACTGCACGGAAATATTACTACTCATTCACACCAGACACAAAAGACAGTACATTTCAGTGTCTAGTATAATAAAAATATAAGTGATAACGTAAAATGTAGAGTAGTATTTTGTGGAAAAGTGGTTCCATAACCACAAAAGAGACCGTTACTAAGTTGCAACCACCGGTGAGAAAATAACCTTTTATACTGAATAACTTACCACTGATCATGCACACTTTTCCAAGAAATTCCTTCTTATTGTAAAAGAAAGAAACGCTATCACCGATTTTCACTGTCTTCTCAACATAGATAACATCACTTTGAGGTACGGTGGAGAATGACTTTTCATCCTCTTCCTCTAGCACGAACCAGTTATCGGTGTCACTCATATTGCAATCACTAAAGTTCAATTTCTTTTAAACAGTCGCTAGGCACGAAGTAAAACTATTGCAGCGAACCACCAAAGATAATACTGATAGGTACCGATTTATATTTAGTATCAAAGAAGATGGTCAGGGTATATGCCACAGAGATACATATATATGCACATTGAATATTTAACAGACATACTATACTAGATGTAACTAACGGAAGCCAACGGCACACGATACTATTTTTACTACTGGATTGCTTACGAAAACCAATAAGGATGCAGAGTTTTAAGCCAACGGCACACGATACTATTTTTCCTACTGGATTCCTTACGAAAGCCAATCAGGATTTAGCCTCAAGTCACCTGATCGAAAACCCTGCATCCTGATTGGCTCTCGTAAGCAATCCAGTAGGAAAAATAGTACCGTGTGCCGTTGGCTTTAGACTGGGTCTACATAGGATGTAGTAACAGAGAGAAGCCTGAGAGATGCCAGGGCCCCGTTTTTCGTGATTGGCGAATGCGATACGCCCTTTGTGGACATTGAAAACATGGACATTGAACTATGTAGCCAATGTCCACATTTTGCCAAGTGGGTAACGCAGATTTGCACAATTTTAGTCCCGTCCCGCGCTATGGTTAGATCCCATGCAATGATCTTGTACTTAAAAAAATCTTAAGTACAAGAGCATCGCACAGGACCTGACTATATGAAACGCAACCAAAATTTCGCAAATCTGTGTTATCCACTTGGCAAAATGTGGTCATTGGCTACGTAGTTCAATGTCCACGTTTTCAATGTCCACAGAGGGCGTATCGCATTCGCCAATCACGAAAAACGGGGCCCTGACATCTCTTAGGGGTGTGTTCAGATTCCTTACTCTGAGTAGAAAAATTTACCCTATACCGTTCAGATAGCATCCGAGTAAATATTTTTTGACTCGACAGACCGCGTTCAGATTTCCGGGTTAGAGTAATCGAGTTAACTCTAGAGTCGACTTCTCAACCTACCATTTTTCGTCGGTTAAAAAGTTACTCGGTATGTTTTGGCGGCAAGCTTGAAATTGAGAGTTTCAAGCTGAAACATGACGGAGATGCATGTTGTAGAAGCGGACCTGACTCGCCACAAATTGGTAACAAAAAAGAATGGAGAAGTCGTCCGTGTTGAGGGGCACATTATGGTGTTCGATAATATTGGTAAGTACAAGGCTATAGCAAATAGGAATCGTTGCGAGAGAGGTTAGGTCCTGTCAGGAGCCAAAGCTCCTATTGTTTTTATTGAAATGATCTTTATCTGTTAACAGATAATAATATGTGCTGCGTTCTCGAAAATGAGAAAAATCTCCGGCTTTATGGTCTCATACCTTCTACTTTACAGCTTGATACGAGTATGTATTGAATTTGGTTCATACAGCCAGATGATTCATAACTGCCCCAATAATTAAAAGGATTGACTTTTTTCTTATATATTGCAGTTCCTGAAACGAGCATGTCATCATCAGAGGCCTCAGGTTCTCTCCCTGATGATGTAGCATGTTTGACAGCAGAAACAGGAAATTCGAAGCCAGTAACCAATAAAGAGAAAGGTAGGCATACTAAATGATAGTGTTGTTTATAGTAAATCAGTTAATCTGTATACATGATAGTGTACTCTTGATTTATGTATGTTTCAGTTAAGTGGACAAGGAATGCTGTTCTAGCATTAATCACATCTTGGAAGGCTAATCAGCCAAACTTTCAAAGCACTATTATAAGGAATGATGTAGTATGGGATATGATCGCCCAAGACATCAAAGAAACAGGATTTAAAGTAACTGCCACTCAGACTGAAAACAAGTGGAAAAACATAAGGAAAGCGTACATGAGTGTTAAAGACCATAACTCTAGGTCTGGAAATGCTCCAAAGACATGTAAATTCTATGATGAGTTAGATGAAATATTTTCTAAATCACCAAGTGTCGTACCTGTTGCTCTTGCTTCTTCAAGAACAAAAAGAGCATCTTCTACATCTGTAGAAAATCTTTATAATAGTGATGATGAGATATCTGAAGAAATGGAGACTGATAAAACAGAGAAGATAAGTAAACAAGCAAAGAAGAGCAAACTGAATAGAGAATTAGAAGCTTGGTCTAAGACTCTTCGTGAAGATGCGGAGAAAAGGGAATTAGCAAGAGAAAAACGACATGAGGCAATGATCGCTATGCAGAATAAAGGAATTACAGCGTTTACTGATATCATGAATAAGTTACTAGAAAAGCTATGAATCAGTTACACCACTTTTTTATGAGCAATTAGTTGAAGTTGTTAGAATGTGTAGTACATTTATATTGTACGGTAACGACAGATATTATGATATAGAAGAGTACGCGCGAATGGAATGCGAGTATAGACGCGCACATGTACGCCTTCCCACTTCTCTGTATGTATAGTATGTAACGTATGTACTGTCGCGCGAGATGCTAGAGTCGACAGGCGTAAATACGGGTGTGCGTGATATGCGAAGGCAGTCCGGCAAAGACCTGCGCCGAATCTCTCCGTATCATTAGGTTTAAGAATAAATCTTTATGTAAAACGTGGTCTCTCATCACTCGATCATCACTCCTAGAAATACTGATCCTAAGGAGCCTTACTCAACATGGTAGCAGAGCGTGGTTCCTCTGATCAGGTTCGCTACGAGTAAGTGAATACAGTCGAGAGCACGTAGGAACGCTCAAGACAAAGAAAGTAGCCACAACACTGGAGAAGGTCAAGAAGGAAGAGACGATAGTGAAAGTCGAGCAAGAGGAAGAGTCCGAACACGAAGGAAAGCTCGAGGATAAACTAGAAGACCAAATGGAGAGAAAGGAAATCACGATACCGGTGTTTGATGGAGAAGACTACAGTATGTGGAAGAAAAGAATTACGATGTACCTAAGGTTAAAAAAATGTGATCAAGTGATAACCAGGGCAAGAGTAGCAGCAGATACAGAAGACTGGGATGAAGATGACTTGAAGGCAATAAATTTGATTTATGGTGCCATATCGAACAAACAACTGGAGTTTGTTTGTGAAGAAACTACAGCGTATAAAATAATAAAGAAGTTCGACGAGATGTATTTGAAAGAGTCTACCGCACTACAAATTGTGTGCCGAAATAAACTGGAAAAATTGAGACTAGAGAAGTATAGTGATACAGCCACATTTTTCAGTGAATTTGAGAAATCAGTAAACGAACTGAGAAGTGCGGGTGCTAAAATAAGTGAAAAGGAGAAATTAAATTACATGCTGAACACGTTGCCGAGCCAGTACAGCTACATTGGCGATCTAATAGATACATTAAAAGAAGAGGACCAAACAGCATCATATGTGAAAAATAAAATCCAAATTGCTGAAATGAAAATTAATAACGATCATGGTGAAAAAAGGTCGAATGTATTCACAGCAAAAAAGGATCAAAAAGGAAGCTGTTTCAAATGTGGGAAAACCGGGCATTTCGCACGAGAGTGTCAAGATGGCGGCCAAGCGGGACACAACGGCGCATCATGGCGAGGCTCAACACGTGGTCACGGCCGAGGCAGAGCCGGAAGAGGCAACTACGGCAGAGGGCGCAGGTACTTCCGTCAGCAAGGAGCCAGTACGAGCGAACAGAGCAACGCCGGCACGAGCACATGGGTAGCGACGATAAACGCGGCACAGAGTAGCTATAGTCAAGATAGGCAAGGTAATGAAATTCAGTGGTTATTAGATAGCGGGTGTACAGACCACATAATAAATAACGAAAAATATTTTGAGAAATGTATCGACCTTAAAGAACCGGTGAAGATATACTTAGGTGACAATAGGTCAATAAAAGCAACGAAAATTGAAAATGTAGTAAGTTACTTTAACGCGTTTGGAAATCGGAATGAAGTAAATATGAACAATGTATTCTACGCGAAAGATATGAATGTAAATTTGATAAGTTACGGGAAATTGACTGATAAAAATACTATTATTTCTAGAGGAGATGTAGCAAAAGTTATTGATGAGAATAATAAAGTTGTAGCTGTAGCGTTCAAAGAAAATAGAATTTACAAAATAAAAAGTAAATTGAAATACGAAGAGGCTTCTGTAAAAATTGCCGAACGAAACAGAAACATGAGTCAAAAGGAAAGGTGGCATCGAATCCTAGGCCATGTAAACTTTAGTTATTTAAATACACTATGTAAACAACAGTTATTAACGGGTATCCCAAATGAACTTGAATCGGAATTTATGAAGTGTAAAACGTGTATTGAAAATAAGATGCATAATTTGACATTTAAAAATAATCGAACTAAGGCTAGAGAGATTATGGAAATCATTCATACGGACGTGTGTGGTCCCTTTAAAACTAACGGATTAAATGGAGAAAAGTACTTTGTTACTTTCATAGACGACTATAGCAAAATAGCGAAGATTTACTGCATAAAGTCTAAAGATGAAGTTTTTGATTGTTTAGTCCAATTTGTAAATGAAAGCGAAAATTTAACCGAAAAAAGGTAAAAATATTAAGGTGCGATAACGGGAGAGAATACATAAGTAATCGTTTTTATAAATTTACCAAAGAAAAAGGTATTATA